CCTTTCAGGTTATGTCGATATAGGACTCGTTTTACTGTGGATATAGATACTTTTGTACCTGTTTCCTCCAGCATCTTCACAAGGTCCTTTGCTGTTGTTCTGGGATTGATTTGCACCAAAGTACGTTCATCTCTAGGAGACAGAACGCGTCTCCTTCCTCAGCGGTATGACGGCTGCGTGGTCCCATGGTGTTTATACTTGCATACTATTGTCTGTACAGATGAACGTAGTACCTTCAGGCATTTGGAAATTGCTCCCAAGGATGAACCAGACTTGTGGAGGTCAACAGTTTTTTTCCTGAGGTCTTGGATGATTTCTTTTGAGTTTCCCATGATGTCAAGCAAAGAGGCACTGAGTTTGAAGGTAGGCCTTGAAATACATCCACAGGTACACCTCCAATTGACTCAAATGATGTCAGTTAGCCTATCAGAAGCTTCTAAAGCCATGACATCATTTTCTGGAATTTTCCAAGCTGTTTAAAGGCACAGTCAACTTAGCGTATGTAAACTTCTGACCCACTGGAATTGTGATACAGTGAATTATAAGTGAAATAATCTGTCTGTAAACAATTGTTGGAAAAATTACTTGTGTCATGTATAAAGTAGATGTCCTAACCGACTTGCTAAAACTATAGTTTGTTAATAATAAAAAAAAATTTAAAAAATTATAATAAGACATTTGTGGAGTGGTTGAAAAACGAGTTTTAATGACTCCAACCTAAGTGTATGTACACTTCCGACTTCAACTGTACATATACAAAGTTCTGACGTCAGCATTCCAAAGCATTCCAAAGAAAAAAGCCTCTCATCAGGCAAAACCTGTCTTAACCATTAAAGCGCAGGTGGGGTCTGCCAGGCTCAGATACAGCCACCCCTTGAGTTACCCAAAAGTTCACTGACTACAACATCCCCAAATGGGCACTTAAATACATTTGGCCACACCTATTCTTGATGCGCAGGGCAGGTATATCTATGCATGCTAAAATGCAGCCTTCACACAACATTAAACATGACGGAGAAACCGGACACATGCAGTTGCCCCGAGGCTGATGAACACTTTGCCCAGGCCCTAAAAACTGTCCACTAATCTTTTGGTGATGCGGGGGCACAAACTTCCCAGATGGGCCTTTGTTAAATCAGGTAAGGGAGCATTATCTCTCAAATGATGCACAGTGGACACTTGGGTTGTCTCCAGACCCCCAGCAGTGACACAACTTGTGCCACACCCAGGAACATTTTGCGGTGCAGAAATGTTCTCTCCAAGCCCAGGGAAAGGGTCAGAGGTCTCCTTCTCCTCTCTAGGCTCCGGAAAGAGCTCGGTCCTAATCAATTCAGTGTCAGTCAGGATGAAAACCTCACACACCCAATCATAGGACAGATACTCCTGTAGAGCTCCCCCCATAGGAATAACAGAGGAGCAGTAAGGCAACAGTTCGGCCTCCAACACGACGTCCTCACCAGGGCCTGACTGGTAAACTTATAAATCAAAATCAAATATTACAGGCAGAGAGGCCTATCACGCTACTCACTTAACCTACCACAGAGATGACAAGGGTTTTTTCCCGTTTTTTATGGAAACCCAAAGGAGTCATACCTAACCGCCCCAGTTGCTTTCCCCGTACACACACGCTGCGCGCTCTGTCCATTGTGCTGACAGTGCAGCAGAGATACATATTTTTTGGGAGCCAACCTGTCACTCAATCATTTTAACTTTTTTGCTAATTTTATATTGGGGCATAAATCTAAAACTGTAAGTAAGCCCCCTTTAGCCCCCTCGTGGAGCCGGTTACAGGTATTTCAGCCAGATCTCTCCCAGGCACATGGCGGGTAAAATGCGTCTAAATGCAAATGCAAGTGATTTCCTGCTTCACATTTAGACAAAAGGACAAATTGTTACAGCTTTGTAGTCTCTCTCAGCCTAAATGTTTTATTTTGGATAAATAAATTATCAGGACAAGTAGGGCTATCTCAACTATTCTCTGTTTTTCAGAAATCTTAAGATAAATGTTGTTTTGGGATATTACACTTACTGTTGCTTAAATTATGTACCAGCGCTCCTCATGTTTTATCCTTGCAGGGCGGAGAGGGCATTTTTGGCCTGCCTACATGAAGCCTCTGAATCTGGCTAGCTGTTGGAGACATCCTGTTGGTCCACCTGGAAGATCACATTCAAATGAAAAAGGATATGAGATGCCTTGTTATTACAGTGGTGACCTGTTCTATGTGCAGTGACTATAAACTGGCCATCCGTAGTATGTGATTTTGGTGTCCATAAATCTAAACACTAGATGGCGGCACAATACATTAAAAGACTAATCAAAATGCAAAGTCCATTATTTTAACGTTGTAGGCCAGAACAAAGTTAAATATCCCTTATGTGAGATGGAAAAAGAGTACTGAGTGAGTGATTATTCATTACTCATTGAACTCTGATGTCTAGTTTCAGAGGAAGTGGGCAAGTGCTGTACAAAGGTTGCTGCTAGTTTGAAAGGTAGCCTATAGGTCAGCCTTAAATATAAGTTATATTTTTTCATGTCACTATTTTGCATTCATGTATATGTGTATGGACCAATAAAATCTGATTTGATTTTATGTTTTGCACTTTGGTGTTTCTTTTTGGATTTGCCTTCTGTTTTGTTTAATCATGTCTTGTGTTTTCCCAATTCTAGGCTTGATTTTATTTGTATTTCATTATTTGTTTTCATGTTAAAAAAAGATGTTTACAAATGTTTAGCACCTAAGGAACTTAACTATACTGAACAAAAGTATAAACGCAACTTGCAACAATTTCAAAGATTTTACTGAGTTACAGTACATGTAAGGAAATCAATCAATTGAAACGAATTCATTAGGCCTTAATCTATGGATTTCACATTACTGGGAATACAGATATGCATCTGTTCATCACAGATACCTTTAAAAAAAGGTAGGGAAGTGGAGCAGTAAAGCAGTTTGTATCTAGTGTGACCACCATTTGCCTCATGCAGCGCGACACATCTCCTTCGCAAAAAGTTGATCAGGCTGTTAATTGTGGCCTGTGGAATGTTGTCCCACTCCTCTTCAATGGCTGTGCGAAGTTGTTGGATATTGGCGGGAACTGGAACACGCTGTTGTACACGTCGATCCAGAGCATCCCAAACATGGTCAATAGGTGACATGTCTGGTGAGTATGCAGGCCATGGAAGAACTGGGACATTGTCAGCTTCCAGGAATTGTGTACAGATCCTTGCGACATGGGGCCGTGCATTATCATGCTGAAACATGGTTATTGCGGCGGATGGATGGCCAAAACAATGGGCCTCAGGATCTCGTCACGGTATCTCTGTGCATTCAAATTGCCATCAATAAAATGCAATTGTGTTCGTTGTCTGTAGCTTATGCCTGCCCATACCATAACCCCACCGCCACCATGGGGCACTCTGTTCACAACATTGACATCAGCAAACCGCTCGCCCACATGACGCCATACATGCTGTCTGCCATCTGCCCGATACAGTTGAAACCGTGATTCATTGAAGGTGGCCATTGAAGGTGTGCATTTGCCCACTGAAGTCGGTTACGACGCCGAACTGCAGTCAGGTCAAGACCCTTGTGAGGATGACGAGCGCGCAGATGAGCTTCCCGGAGACGGTTTTTGACAATCTCTACAGAAATTATTCGGTTGTGCAAACCCACGGTTTCATCAGCTGTCCGGGTGGCTGGTCTCGATTCCGCAGGTGAAGAAGCTAGATGTGGAGGTCCTGGGCTGGCGCGGTTACATGTGGTCTGCGGTTGTGATGCTGGTTGGACGTACTGCCAAATTCTCTAAAATGACGTTGGAGGCGGCTTATGGTAGAGAAATGAACATTACATTCTCTGGCATTAGCTCTGGTGGACATTCCTACAGTCAGCATGCCAATTGCACATGCCCTCAAAACCTGCGACATCTGTGGCATTGTGTTGTGTGACAAAACTTCACATTTTAGAGTGGCTTTTATTGTCCCCAGCACAAGGTGCACCTAATGATCATGCTGTTTAATCAGCTATCTTGGCAAAGGAGAAATTATCACCAACAGGGATGTAAACAAATTTGTGCACAAAATTTGAGCGAAATAAGCTTTTTGTGTGTATGGAAATTTCTGGGATCTTTTATTTCAGCTCTTGAAACATGGGATTAACACTTTACATGCTGCGTTTATATTATTGTTCTGTCTATTTGTCATGTGACTAACCACAGATCAAGATACATAAAATGAGCATTCTCCAGGGATGCAAACAATAATTAAAATAACATGGTCACAAATAGGAACTCATTTATATTTCTGACCAGGATTTGAAGTTTAAACTCATCAGATTTTTCAATGACACTCAGACAACATAACAAACAATTTTCTCAGAAAACAATAATCTTTGTGACACAAAACCAGTGGTCATTGATACAAAACTCGTACAAACCACATACTGTTCTATGTACTCTTTGTAAGGGTTACATGTTATATGATATTTATGTGTTTGTCCTTGAGCTATGAAGATGAGTAATTGAGGAGTCTGTGAGTATAGGTCAGTGTATCATGGCCTTTATGAATTGTGATGAATGTGCGGTCTTCAAGACAACGACTCTCCTTCTCTTGGCCCTGATCCTGAAAAGTTGTTCTTATGGGAGTGTTTATATCTGGACACACACACACACGTATTCACCAGCGCTCCTGTGCTGAATTGTGCTGTTTGGCATGACAGTGTGGTATTATTTTAGGCTTTGTGATGGCCTGTATTGTTCCCCAGTGGGGTCTTTTGTTGTGTTGGAGGGCTATGGTGATGCTGCAGGGGCAGGTTTGTGCTGACGATGGCCTGTAGGGATGACAGGGCCTGATATGGCCGAATGAGTGGTCCAGAGAGAGAGAGAGAGAGAGATTGAGAGTCAGCAGCAAAGCAGCTCAGAGATGGAGTAGGACCTGTGCACGTACACACACACTCTCATACACATTCTTAATAACAACTCCTTGATCCAACTGAAGCTCAGCCATGCAGGAATCTCTTGGCACTGTTGGTGTGGATGGAGGTTATGCCAGTAATGTGCCTGCCTTCCTCACCAAACTGTGGACCCTGGTAGAGGACCCGGACACCAACCACCTCATCTGCTGGAGTGCTGTGAGTACCTGAAGGACTGACACTTCTGGTTGTTTAAGTTGGTTAAAGAGAGTTAGAGGTCTTTAGGTCTTTCATACAGTGGAATATATTTAATGTGTTTGATAGAAATTACAAGATAGAGAAGATAAGTAATGGTTTAGTGAAGATTCTACTTGTCTATTACTCAAAGATAGTTCTATGTTTGAACATTAAATTAATTGGTGACCATATATACCCGAGTTAACAAAGAAAGTAATATGTTTAAACCATTGGTTAACAAAAAAAAAAAAAACGTGCCTGCCTTGCATTCATCAGTGAAATTAGAGAATGCCTTTGTGTGTTGTTCCCTTTATAAAAGTATGGAAAATGTAATAAAACATTCTGACTAGTATGTCAGCATTGTCTATGAAGGAGTGGTGAGACCACACACTAAGCACCCCTCGACATCTCTATCTTTGTACCTGTTAGTGTTACTGTTATGCCGAAGACTCCACAATCTGGTTTACAGAGTCCCCAAAATGTAAGTGAGTAGCCATCTTTGAGAGAATTAAGTATGATTTCATCATGTTCATTAGCTGATTTTGCGGACTGGACTCATATTGGGACAGAAATATGAACGATTACAAAAATAATCTAAATAATTTGGCCAACCTGTTTAACACTAAAATAATGTGCTACTGCAGGGCTCTTCAACCTTTTTTTGCACAGTGACCCCCGCCAAGGCAAACCGGCAACCCAAATTGGTTGGTTGAAGAATTGTTTCCGACCAAAAAGCACAGAATGAAACAAAGTTGTATTTCCAACATCACAACTAGGAAATAGGAATTTCCGATGAGCACGTGAACGCAGGATTAGCTACACCGCTACATGGCAAAAAACATTATGAACTATTTAAAACACTACCAAGATTTGAATTTATTTCAACTACCACCAAGTAGTTTAATTACTAGTTGAACTACATGTAGTTCACGAGGCTACTCCCCAACACTGAGCTAGAAAGGTAACACCTTTTCGCTGATAGCAGCTGTTTAGCTGGTTAAACAAAGATTAGCCATAGGTTGGCTAAAAAATTAATATCCAAGTCAATAAATAAAGTTGTTATCATTAGAAAGTTAGAAAGAAGATATTCTCCTCTTTTCTACTGTAGGCTTGTAATTGAAAATGTATTTATTCTGTCGTTGCTAGCAATATTCATGAAGACATTGGGGGGAATTTTCTACAAATATTTTCGCTGACCCCAGGTTGATTACTGGACAATGACGTAGTGACAACAGTCCATAAGCTTGTCAATGATTTAATGTGAAAGAGGTTGTCATTGATTTACTGTCAAAGAGGTTGGGTACAGCTTGCTGATACATTTGATTTTCCCTCAACTTTCATTTCAGCTTTTAGGATACTTAGAATTCTAAGAAATGAACAATGGAAGTGGCTAAGCTTCCCCTTTCCGCTCGAATTCAGCTAGTCTTTTCAAAAAGAAAACTAGGATATGCAAAGTAAAGATTTTGTATGGACTTCTTGTTATAAAGCAAATAATACACCTCCTACTTGATCAACCTTCACTTGATTTATAGGGTTGAGCCTTATATGGTTTTGACACTAACGGCTGGTTTTCCAGACACCCTAGTCCTGGACTACAAAGCATTCATCTATGTCTGGGAAACTGGCCCTGAATGTTGAATTGAGGTAGTCAATGTCCAATCAGTGGTTAATAGAACTTGAACACAAACCCCTATTTTGGTCTGTCCCTCAGACTGGAACCAGCTTCCATGTTTTTGACCAGGGCAGGTTTGCCAAGGAGGTGCTGCCAAAGTACTTCAAACATAACAACATGGCCAGCTTTGTCCGTCAGCTCAACATGTGTGAGTACCTCTCCTCATCACTAGAGAATAGAGAAAGCCCTCTCGGATATTTAGCAGTATTTAGAAGACAATTGTGTAGGAATGACTTGTGTATTGTTTATGTGTAGGTAGGATATGCATTCCTTTGTGTTTTTGAGTGTTTGTGCCTCTGGAGGTGTGTGTGTTGCTGTGTGCCGCTAACTGTGGAATGGTGTGCAGATGGCTTCAGGAAGGTGGTGAACATAGAGCAGAGTGGCCTGGTGAAGCCAGAGAGAGACGACACAGAGTTCCAGCACCTCTACTTCCTGCAAGGCCACGAACACCTGCTGGAGCACATCAAGAGGAAGGTGAGGCAGAAACCTAGGAAATAAAACACACACACAGACACACACACCAACAAAGTACACATGGTAAGACCTCTGTGTGTGTTTGTCTGTGTGTTTAGGTCTCAATCGTGAAGAGTGAAGAGACTAAAGTACGACAGGAGGACTTGAGTAAGCTGCTGTATGAGGTGCAGGTGCTGCGCAGTCAACAAGAGAACATGGAGTGTCAGATGCAAGACATGAAACAGTAAGTAGGAAGAACAATGTGTGCTAATACACCGCATCAATCATAACTACATCGACAATGTATGACACATGCTAAATCAATACAGTTACTATAATCAGTACTGTAGTGGTTTAATGCTGTGAAATGTAGTTTGAGGCACTGAACTGGGAGAAAACGTATTACTAATCATACTAAGCCATATGCAACAGAGTCAAAGCAACTCATAGTCCATCCTCAGTAGTCCATGCATTGTCCCTGGCCTCATTGTATGTTCCAATGGTTTGGTCTATTGTCTACATTGGTTGAAGAGAACATTCAGCTGCTCACCTGACCGTTGCACCCTATAATAGTGTCAGATGTGCTGGTCAGGTGCATGCGTCAGGTACTCTAGCAGTACAGGTGATCTTGTCACATGTCTCTGTCTGATCTGGAATAGGTGGATGACATCTGGCTGAGCCCTCAGATAGGACACATCAGGGTGAACGGGCTGAAATCAGAGCATCGCCCAGTCACACCATTTAATCACACATAGATCACACACATTTGGGACATGCGGGGTGGTGAGTGAGGGGGTTGATAGTAAAGTGGTGAATGTCACAGTGGTCTGTCTTACTCCTCCAGACAGAATGAGGTGCTGTGGAGAGAGGTGGTCTCACTGAGACAGAACCACACCCAGCAGCAGAAAGTCATGAACAAGGTGAGAACCTCTGACCAAACATGACAATACAGTGTGTGTGCGCGTGTGTGAGAGCCTGTGTGTGTGTTTGAATTAGAGAGAGAGAGGAAGAGAGAGAGTCAAAGTGTGTTACTTTGGTGCTTGTCTCAGAAACCCAGTCCGCGGAACATTGGTACATTGTGGGAGGCAACCCGTCTGTCTAGAGAGACTACTTTGGTGCTGAATCATTCTCTGTGTTTTGCTCCATTATAGCTGATTCAGTTCCTCTTCAGCCAGATGCAATCAAATACACCCAGCACTGTAGGAATGAAGAGAAAGCTGTGAGTATACTTCCATGCTTTGTAGTGCGTGCCCGCACACACGTACACGCACACACACACACACAGGCTAAGATTAACAATACATGCACTCAAAAACACACACACAAACACACCTGTATGTACATACACTCATTAACACACTATACTAACAAATCGACAATAGTAACACAAACACAGCAGTGGGAACGGCCAACTCAGCTGGATGTGGTCAGCTGACGCGCTGCACAATCACAGTTGGGATGAATGGAGCTAAATGCTGAATCAGACCTACTGAGCTCTGAGCTCCCCACCATCCTCTCACACCCACACCACCCCACTTAACCAGGGCGCATGACCCTCTATGAGAAATGCACTGTCAGCTTGTGTGACCCGTGTGAACAAATCGGTCAAAGGACAAGGCACAGTCACATACCACACTCATATTTTCCCTCATTACAGCTGTCATGTCCATAACACCTAAAGATTTACAGTCAATACTGACTCTATGTTAACTGGACATTTTTCATATCTGTTTATACACTTTCCAATAACATTCATAACACTGTGGCATAGCTGTGTTCTACAATACAATTAATGCTGTCATTGTGCCCTGCTGTTTGTGCTTAGTATTGGTTGCAGTAAATTCAATTGATAGAGATATGGCATTATGTGTACACAGCCTTGGCAAAATAGAAACAGCAGTGGTTGGTATAAGATGAATGAAAGAAAATATCACAAAAGTCAATTACATAGTGTAATTACTAACATACCGTATTGACTTTTTTCAGTGGTCGAAAAGCAAGTGGGTTATTCAGTGTTTTAAGGCCTACGTGTTCTATACAAGCTAATCTTGTTTCTCAAAACTACCACTGCTTGCTTCACTCTCCCTTGCAATAGAGGTTACGGTTACTTTCCCTTATCATTGGCTCTCATCCAGTAAGGATGAGCAGACACAGCTCTCTATGGCTCTCAGTCAGTTCCAAGGCATGTCATTGCACAAGAGAAGAGAGTATTTCCATTGATTCACTTTTCATTTCTCTATATTCCCCCTCATGGTGATGCCTGGCCCTCCCAGTCCCCTCATGTTGGATGATGGCTCCACCACGCCCCCAGCCTCCAAGTTCAGCCGTAGCCACCAGATGGAGCCCCTGCATGAGCCCTTCTATATCCAGTCGGTGAGAACCAACTCTAACTTTCACCATTACACTACTTTTTGCTAGTTGTACTGAATTGATAGTTTCCATTTAGCATTGGGACATTATGATTATCCTTTATATTTTGAACTGCATAGTGACTGTCAGGCTGTGAGCTTCACAAACCTTTAATCAAACTCTATTACTGCTCCTTCTCCACAGCCATCCACAGAAACTGCCTCTTGCTCCAATAGTGCAATGACAGGAGGACCAATCATATCAGACATTACAGAAATGTCACAACCCAGCAACATCACTATTCAAATGCAAACAGAGGAGACAAGGTGAGGATCAAAGATCAAAAGCAAAGTCACCTTTTATCCTGTAGTGGCTTCCAAAGCAACAAAATCCAGTATCTAGCCTTATTCAGTAGGACTGGTATAAACAAATAAGTCTGCTGTGTTTCTGTCCCCACACAGGGATAAGTGTATGATGCTGATCAAAGAGGAGCCAGTGAGCCCAGGGGTTCGAGGCCGGGGGGAGGGTGTTCCACTGGGCTCCTGTGAGGTGTGTTCTGAACCCCCTGTCCTCCATGTTGCCATGGTACAGTCTGTACTGGAGGGCAGAGGGTCTGGAGCAGAGAGGAGGAGCAAGAGACCTGCTCTGGAACGGTACACACACACACACACATCACACACACACACACAGATAAACAGTTCTACATTGTTTTATATTATTACATATTAATTTATTGTTTTCCAGTGAAGCCCAAGTAGTGTGATATGATGATGTGTGTTGTAGACCAGAAGTACCTGATGCTGTAGAGAATGTGGACATGAGTCTGGAGGACTTGCAGCTTCTCCTAAGGACCCACCAGCAAAGTGTGGAGCCCACCGCTGCTGTCATGGATGTGAGTAGGACCCTCCAAAGCTTGGCAGACACAGAGTGTGTTTAAAGCCTGTCTCCCGGAAGCATGAGGAACAAAGTTACTGCAGAAACAGACATAATAGCTCCCATGTGAAGATCTCTAGTTTCTCCTCACTAGATAGGAGTGAGTCAGACAGTGATCACAGCAGCTCATACTGATATGACGCTGTTCTGTCTTTACAGCCATTCAATTTCAACCTGCCCTTGAGTGAGTGGAACTTTAATGATATGGAGTCCAACCTGAAATCAGTGAGTAGAATATGTTTATGGTGTATGAATTAGCTCTGCACAGATATCATATCTTGAAGTCTAGTTATATATTCAGTGCAATCAACCAGTCAGTAAAGTCAGCACAAGTTATGAGTTACTGTGATTTTCCACTAGTTGCCACAGCCACAAAGTCAAAATTGTATATATCGTACAAATCTGTCTTAATTTAAGGTTAGGCATAAGGTTAGCGGTTTGGTTTAGGTTAGGGTTAAGATTAGGTTTGAAATCGGATTTTAAGAAGATAAATTGTAGAAATAGGCTGGGTTTGACTTTGCTTGTGGTAACTAGTGACCACCATTACTGTGTCAGCCATAAATTACAGTGGCTTTAGTCAGACAAGGGCAGGTAATGGGAAAACAATTTGTCAACATCTGACCTTATCACTTCTTGGGAGGATGAATCAGTGCGTGCTGTGCAGGTAGCCTCTCTGTAGTTGGTTAATAGTACTGGTCAGTGTTATCTTAAGTAGTATCTAATCCCCCCATTCTGTGTTGCTGTGTTCCAGTACATGTTTCAGAGCCAGGAGGCAGAGGCTTACCCCAATGCTGGTTGTGAGGAACAGTAACGGCTTGACAAATCAGCTGGCACAGGCTAGTCCTGACAAAGAAAGGCACAGTATGTACACACAGCCATATCCAGTGGTGTAAAGTAATGAAGTAAAAATACTTTGAAGTATTACTGAAGTAGTTTTGGGGGGTTATCTGTACTTTACTATTTATATTTTTGACAACTTTTACTTTTACTCCACTACATTCCTAAGAAAATATAAACTTTTTACTCACATACATTTTCCCTGACACCCAAAAGTACTCGCTACATTTCGAATGCTTAGCAGGACAGGAAAATGGCCCAATTCACACACTTATCACGAGAACACGTGGTCTTCCCTACTGCCTCTGATCTAGCAGACTCAATAAACACAAATGCTTTGTTTGTCAATTATGTCAGTGTGGGAGTGTGCTCCTCGCTATCCGTACATTTTTAAAACAAGAAAACCATGCTGTCTGGTTTGCTTAATATAAGGAATTTTTCAGTGATTTATATCATTTACTTTTGATACTAAAGTATATTTTAGCAATTACATTTACTTTTGATACTTAAGTATATTTAAAACCAAAAACTTTTAGACTTTTACTCAAGTAGTATTTTACTGGGTGACTTTCACTTTTACTTGAGCCATTTTCTATTAAGGTATCTTTACTTTTACTCAATGTGATGAGGTGTGAATGACGGAGTCAGGCGCAGGAGGTAAAACACCGAAATCAAGAGTTTATTCAGTGTACAATAATGTAGCGCATATAGCGACAGAACGAAACTAGCACAAGGGAAAATCAACCTTGGCTGCATACAACCGAGCTACTCACTCTCACAATGAACAATCACTCACAAAGGACAAGGGGGCAGAGGGAACACTTATACACAGACTAATGAGGGAATGAGTACCAGGTGTGTGTGATTGACAAGACAAGACAAGACAAGACAAGACAAGACCAATGGAGTGATAATAAAAGGAGCGGTAGTGGCTAGTAAGCCGGTGACGACGAACGCCGAAACCTGCCCGAGCAAGGAGGAGGGGCAGCCTTGGCTGAATTCGTGACAGTACCCCCCCCCCCCCCCCCCCCCCCCCCCCCTCCCCTTGATGCGCAGCTCCAGCAGCGCAGCTCCGACACCGGCCTCTGGGACGGCCAGGAGGACGCGGAGCAGGGCGAGTCAGATGGCGACAATGGAAGTCCCTCAGCAGAGAGGGATCGAGGATATCCCTCACCAGGACCCAGTACCGTTCCTCCGGACTGTACACTTCCCACTCCACGAGGTACTGAAGGCCCCCCACCCGGCGCCTCGAATCCAGGATGGACCGGACAGAGTATGCCGGCGCCCCCTCGATGTCCAAAGGAGGTGGAGGGACCTCCCGCACCTCAGACTCCTGGAGCTGACCAGCCACCACCGTCCTGAGGAGAGACACATGAAACGAGGGGTTAATACGGTAATCAGGGGGGAGTAATAACCTATATGTGACCTCGTTGATTCTCCTCAGGACTTTGAACGACCCTACAAACCGCGGGCTCAGCTTCAGGCAGGGCAGGCGGAGGTGCAGATTCCTGGTCAAGAGCCAGACCAGATCCCCCGGTACAAAGACGGGGGCCTCACTGCGGTGACGGTCAGCGTTGACCTTCTGACGACGCACGGCGCATTGGAGGTGAACATGGGCAGCGTTCCACATCTCCTCCGCGCGCCGAAACCAGTCATCCACTGCAGGAGCTTCGGTCTGGCTCTGGTTCGTAGAGGAGTGGGGAAGAGAGTTCTGGGCATATTCTGCCAATGGCAAGAATACTGACCACTCCCCCGGCCTGTCCTGGCAATAGGACCTAAGGAACCTACCCACATCCTGATTAACCCGTTCCACCTGCCCATTACTCTCAGGGTGGAACCCAGAGGTCAGACTGACCGAGACTCCCAGACGTTCCATGAACGCCTTCCAGACTTTTGACGTGAACTGGGGACCTCGGTCAGACACTATATCCTCTGGTACCCCTTAGTGCCGGAAGACGTGTGTAAACAGGGCCTCCGCAGTTTGCAGAGCCGTGGGGAGACCGGGCAGAGGAAGGAGATGGCAGGCCTTCGGAAAGCGGTCCACAACAACCAGGATGGTGGTGTTCCCTTGAGAGAGAGGCAGATCAGTTAAAAAATCAACACTCAAATGAGACATTTACGTCATTTAGCAGACGCTCTTACCCAGAGCAACTTACAGGAGCAATTAGGGTTAAGTGCCTTGCTCAAGGGCACATCGACAGATTTTTCACCTAGTCGGCTAGGGGATTAGAACCAGCGACCTTTCGGTTACTGGCACAACCACTAACCACTAAGCTACCTGCCAACCATGGTCGTTGTGGAACTGGTAAAGGTTTTAACTTACCCGCTGGGAGGTGCCTTACTCTGGGCGCACACTGAGCAGGAGGAAACATACACCCTCACTTCCTTTGCCAAGGTAGGCCACCAGTACTTTTCGGTCAGGCAGCGCACTGTACGACCGATACCTGGGTGACCAGAGGAGGGTGACGTGTGTGCCCAGTAGATCAGAAGATCATGGATAAGCGCAGGCACGTACTGCAGCCCAGCTGGACACTGCGGTGGAGATGGATCTGTGCGTAATGCCTGCGCTATATCCACGCCCATCGCCCATACTACCGGCGCCACAATGCAGGAGTCTGGCAGTATGGGGGTATTGTCTCTGGACCTTTCCTCTGTATCATACAGCCGGGACAGTGCGTCTGCCTTCACGTTCTTCGTACGCGGAATGTATGACAGTGTGAAATCAGACCGGGTGAAGACTAGGGCCCACCTGGCCTGGCGAGGGTTCAGCCTCCTCGCTGCCTGGATGTACTCTAGGTTTTACGGTGGTCCGTCCAGACGAGGAATGGGTGTTTCGCCCCCTCAAGCCAATGTCTCCACACTGTCAGAGCTCGGACCACAGCCAACAGCTCCCGATCACCAACGCCGTAGTTCTGCTCCGCTGGGCTGAGCTTCTTTGAGAAGAACGCACAGGGGCGGAGCTTGGGTGGCGTGCCCGAGCGTTGAGTCAGGACTGCTCCCATCCCAACCTCGGATGCATCCACCTCCACTACGAACGGTAGTGATGGACTGGGGTGGGCCAGTACCGGGGCCGAGGTGAACAGTTCCCTCAGGTTACTGAAGGCCCTGTCAGCCTCAGCAGACCAGCAGAGCCGGGACGGCCCACCCTTCAACAGAGATGTAATGGGAGCTGCGACCTTGCCAAAGCCCCGGATAAACCTCCAATAATAGTTGGCGAAGCCAAGGAAGCGCTGCACCTCCTTTACCGTGGATGGAGTCTGCAAATTACGCACGGCTGCAATGCGGTCGCCCTCCATCTCCACACCTGTTGTAGAATTGCGGTATCCGAGGAAGGAGACGGACTGCTGGAAAAACTTACACTTTTCTGACTTAGCATAAAGGTCATTTTCCAACAGTCGGGTCAGTACTTTGCGAACCAAGGACACATGCTCGGCGCGCGTAGCGGAATACACCAAGATGTCGTCGATGTAGACCACTACACCGTGACCAAGCATGTCCTGAAACACCTAATTCACAAAGGACTGGAAGACTGAGGGAGCATTCATCAAACCATAGGGCATCACCAGGTATTCATAATGCCCCGTGGTTGTGCTGAATGCTGTCTTCCACTCATCTCCCTCTCGGATACGCACCAGGTTGTACGCACTCCTGAGATCTAATTTAGTGAAGAAACGCGCTCCAAGCAATGACTCAACCACTGACGGAATGAGGGGGAGAGGATAACTAAATCTAATCGTCTCCTTGTTCAGTGGTCGATAGTCAATGCACGGGTGCAGACCGCCGTCTTTCTTCTTCACAAAAAATAAACTTGAGGAGGCCGGTGAAGTGGAGGGACGTATGTACCCCTGGCGCAGTGACTCGGTGACGTATGTCTCCATAGCCTCCGTCTCCGCCTGCGACAGGGGATACACATGACTCCTGGGAGGTACAGCGTCTACCCGAAGGTTTATTGCGCAATCCCCCGCCCGATGAGGTGGTAATTTAGTCGCTTTATTTTTAGAGAACACTTGTGCCAGATCATGGTATTCGGGGGGAATGCGCACGGTGGAGGCACCGTCTGGACTTTCCACCGTGGTTGCACCAATAGAAACACCCATACACCTACCCTGACACTCTTGCGACCACCCCGTGAGAACCCTCTGCGGCCATGGGAAAGTGGGGTTGTGGAGTGCTAGCCATGGAATACCTAACACCACAGGGAAAGCAGGAGACTCAATGATGGAAAAAGTGACCTGCTCACAATGCGTCTCCTGTGTGATCATGGTGACTGGTACCGTGACTTCCTTTATCAACCCAGACCCTAATGGTCGACTATCAAGTGCTCTGATGGGGCGTGGAATTGATAGGGGAACTAATGAAATGCCCTGGCAGCGTGCGAAAGTTTTGTCCATAAAGTTCCCAGCTGCGCCTGAATCGACTAGCGCCTTACACTGGGGAACTCTCATGTGATCAGGGAAGTATATCGGTATAGTACAGTGCTCAGCAGAGGGCTCTGAACAAGAGTGGGTGCTCAATACCTGGGGTGATGCGAGAGTGCCCTGCCGGCCGCCTCCTGACCCAAAAGAACGCTGACGACAACGTGTGGTGGAATGTCCCTTCATGCCATCCGAGTCGCACTGGCGCTGTCGTCCTCCGCTCTCTCGGTGCATGGTACCACCCAGCTCCATGAGCTCTGGATCCGCATCGGTCGGGCGGGAACGGGCAGACCTCCTCCAGGTTATCCAGATGAATGGCCATGTCCACCAGTTCGGTAAAAGACAAACTGGTGTCACGGCAGGCTAGCTCCCGTCGGACGTCCTCCCGTAGATGGCACCAGAACTGGTTGATCAGGGCCCGCTCGTTCCACCCGGACCCTGCTGCCAGGATCCGGAACTCCAGCGCGAACTCCTGTACTGTCCTCGTCCCCTGCCTCAAGTGGACCAGCTGCTCAACCGCCTCTCGACCCTCGGGCGGGTGATCAAACACCGCCCGAAA